GACAGCAATCAAACATCTCCAGGCGCTCCCCCACCTCTGCTCGAACCAGATCCGCAATTTCTACGCTCCGACCCAACGGATCTTTGCTCGGGTGCTCCCCCATCTCTCGCGGCCTCCCTAGCCGGCGAAACCGTGCCCTCCCCAGTCGTGCTCTCCTCTTTTGAAGGTACATTGAGTAACATTTATCTTTATATAATTTTGAACAATTAGTAACATTGAGTTACATTATATATTTTTGAACAATTATCTTTATTTCAGAATGGAGGAGATAAGTAGCATGAAGTTTAATGATGATAATACATTTGAATGTAGAAATGCTAGTCAAATGCAAATTGGTGAAAAACCGTGTTTAGGAATGAAGTTTAATAGTCATGAGGAGGCCTATGACTATTATAACTCGTATGCATTGATGATGAGATTTGGAATCAGAAAAAGCTCAGTGAATTACTCTTAGAAAGATAAAGAAGTGTTGAATAGAAATTTTGTTTGTGACAAAGAATGTTACAGATCTAATAAAGACAAGAGAGATATAGGAAAAAATATTAATCATCGGCGAGAGACTAGAGTTGGCTGTAAAGCAATTATGAGAATAAAATTAATGGAGGATAAAACATGGAAAGTTATAGGTTTTACTGAAGATCATACAAACCACATGCTCAGTAGTCCAGATAAAGCAAAGATGCACAGGTCACATCAACAATTTCATAGAAGTAAAAGGTGTAAAAAAATGATTCAATGTTTGCAAGAAGAAGGTATTACTCCTTCCATTATTTCTCGTGTTATTAACGCTACAAGTGGAAGAGAAGATGAATCAGTGACACCACAACAGTGCATTGACTATATGAAAACTCAAAGGCACAATAATATTGGTAATGAATGTATATCTGTTATCCAATATTTTTAAAGAAAGATGGCTAATGATGCATATTTTTATTTTGCACTGGAAGTAGATTGTACTGGACAAATGAGAAGTGTTTTTTGGGCAGATGGAAAATCAAGAGCAACTTATTTGAAGTTTAATGATGTTATTGTGTTTGATGTGACTTATAAAACCAACAAGTTTAGTCTTCCATTTGCACCATTTACTGGGGTGAATCATCATAGGCAATCTACTTTATTTGGTTGCGCATTGCTAGCTGATGAACAAGAAGAAACATTTGTTTGGTTGTTTCAGGAATGGTTAAACTGCATGCATGGAATTGAACCGGGTGCTATCATCACAGACCAAGACCGAGCAATGTGTAATGCCATTCATAAAGTCTTTCCAAACACAAGGCATCGTTATTGTTATTGGCATCTGCAGCGACATATTGCCGATCATTTGCATACTTTGAATTATGTTTATGGTGAAGAATTTAAAAATATTGGGACTTGTGGTGTAATAGTGGTAACATTGAGAACTTTAATTTGCATTGGCTCGAGATGAAGGAGAAGTTTAAGATAATAGAAGAAGAAGATGGATGGCTGCAAACTATGTACATGTATCGAGACCATTGGGTGTCATGCTTCTTAAAAGGTATTTTTTTTGCAGGAATGAGATCAACCCAAATGAGTGAAAGCATCAACTCATTATTTGATGGATATGTGAATTCACAAACACAGTTAAAAGAATTAGTAACTCAATATGAAAAGGTCGTGACACATCGACGATTGAGTGAAGCACATGGAGATTTTAGAACTCTTAATACAAAACCACAGTTTCACCTTGGGCATCCAATTGAAAGACAAGCTGGAAGTAGTTATACCCGCACTATGTTTCATGTATTTCAGAATGAGATCAAAGGGTGTGGTGTTCTTAGCCTTCAAGAGGTGGCCAAAGAAGAAAATTCTGTTTTATGGCGAGTTGGTGACTTAGATGAAAGCAATGAAAAGTGGAGGTTTGTTACTTATGATGAATGTAGAGAATTACAGTATAGTTGCAGTTGTGGTATGTTTGAGAATAGTGGTGTTTTATGCAAACATATATTGTACACTCTAATGTTCAACAGACAATGTTGTTCATTGCCCAGTTTATATATTGTACACCGTTGGACTATAGATGCTCGACATCGTAACATTGGAGTTAGTAATGTTTGTTTTCAGCAAAAGTTGGTTCTGTTGAGGAATTCATTATATCTTCATCTGATTATAACAAATTCAAAGAAATAGTCTTTTTATAAGACCTTTTCTACACAACAAAGCCAAAATTACAACTCTTGAGAAAATAACACAAAAATCGTCTATCGATTCTTGTTTTTGTGGGACTTTGCCTGTGCCGGGAACGCTTTGGTTCGTGGACCGCCGAATCATAGATCGTGAAGGGGGTTTACTGATTCTGACTTCGTTTATCGAAGTGAGAATTTGAAACGATATCTTATCAAAGTAAGATAGTCATTCTTCTTAAAATCAAGTCAAAGCTCAATTTCAAGGAGTTGCACGAAAACTCAAATCTGCTCTCTCTGCTCTGGATTGCTCGAAAATATGCTCGATCCTCCTTAGAAATGACCCTAGGGGGGTATTTATAGCCTCTGGGGTAATAACTGCACAAAACTCAAACAAAGCAACACGTTATGGCCGCGAGACAGTGTTTACTGTCTCCGCCGGGGAGACAGTGTTTGCTGTCTCGGCCCGCGAGACAGTAAATGCTGTCTCGGAAGTGGAATATTCTGGCAGTTTTCATTTTTAACTGCCTTCCCACGTTTTAAACTCCGTTATTTTGGTAGTTATTCACGTGATTTTCGCCCAAGATGTTTCCCACGTCCCTTGGCAGTTAATGGACACGTGTAGGGCAGTTATCGAGGTGGTTTTTGACCATTTCAACACTTTCTCGCTGGCGAGATAGCAAAGTCTGTCTCGCTGGCGAGACAACAAAGTCTGTCTCGCTGGCGAGACAGTTCATACCTGTCTTGATTTTCCAAAAACAGTATGAGATCAATTCTTATGATTTTTTTGAGTGATCTTCTCTATGTTTGGGATATCTATTAGCATTTTTTGACGCCTACAGATATCCCCTCCAAAGTATTTCCAGACGTATTCTTTTATAGAAGAGTCTGGGATATTTTAGATAAGATAAATTTTACTTACGATCCCTTCAATGCTTGGTTGAGTAGATAGTGTAGAAGAATCTGTAACATGGCTTCAGCTCTTGATCTCTTCATCCATTAGTCTATTCAATTCTTTGTAGAATAGCTAATACTTCTCCGACACTGCGTTTATCGCTCGACCGTTGTTGAGACCTTGAATTGAAGTTGGTATTTCCAGATTGATGCTCGTTTGTCTCTCGAAAGTTTGTCAGGTTATCCTTAAGAATATTCAGATTAATATTCTCCAGAAACTTCCTGTTGAGGGTAGGAATACAGTTTAGACTCGTGTACCCATTGGAGTATCACTCTGTATTGCATTTGTGCGATACCGTGTTTGCTGTCTCACACTGTGAGACAGTGTTTGCTGTCTCACTCAGCGAGACGGATTATGCTGTCTCGCTTAGCGAGACAGAGTTTGCTGTCTCGCTCAGCGAGACAGTGGGTATATAAGTCGGACTTGGGCTTTTTTAGGGTTTTTCACGTCGATTTCAGAGCGATTCTTGGCGATTTCTTAACGATTTTCCACCAGTTTTCTTTTGCTTCTTCTCCTCTTTGCTGCTGACTTGGGTGGTACCTTTGTTTGGGGATAATCAACTCGGATTTCAAAGGTTCGTTGACCCTCTTCTCTTTCAAATCTTGATTTTCTTCTCCTTCACGTTTGCATGCACTGTTTCAACCAGATTTTGTGATATTTTGTTCAATTTCTCATTCAAAACCCTAACTTTCCCCTTGGGTTTCAATGTAGCTCGTGTTTTCATCATGTCGCCGCGTAGAGCTCGGGGAACTCGAGGTCGTCCGACTGTTCAGAGCCCTGAGGAGGCTGCCCCTGTCGCCTGCTGCGGCTTCACACAGGGGTATATCTCTTTCACCCTTTCGCAAATTTAAATATTGTATTTTGTCAATTTCATATATATGCACCTGTATTTGCATGCAGATCCTCGTTTGTATCCTTTGAGATACCTTCGAGAAGAGCCGGTATCCTCCTTCGAGGGGATCGACGCTTAAAAGTGTTTGTTTTGCTTGGACAAAACACACTTCATAATACACAGGGGCGATTTCATATCATCCCACATGTATTGAAAGATTTTTGTATGCCGTTATAATGCCTGTGCATAGTAACACATATTTTCTTTATACATGTGGTAGATGGAAAATCGTCACACCTGTTATGAAATAACAACTATATCTTATGGAGTAAGATATGCCGCTTTCTCTAAAATTTTAGGACTATTCTTACACAATTTATGTGTATGTTTTCTTTATCAGTCCAATTTCCTTCTACTGTCTTTATTGCTGATGCGGTTACGGGTCAGAGTAGCGCTACCCACTCTTATTATGAGGGGCTCCCGTTAATTAAATCATCTTCCCGGTTCAAATTTGACTATAGTGAAGAGGCTAGAGAGTTGATCCAGCGAGGTAGTTGTCGTGTTCTACGACGGTTAATCACAGATGCAACCTTGATTTCAGAGCAAGACTCGAATCAATGCATAAGGAAACCAGATTTCTTGTTTGGTGATTCGGTAAAAGATCCAGAGATTGCTTTCTGCAAGCCTGCACAGTGGTTACACGAGGATGGTTCGTCATTCCTTTACTTGCCTTTTATCCCTCGAGAGCATTCACTGTTAAAGTTTAGGAATTTATCGGTTGGACGTGAAATGTTCTGGAGGTTAACCGAAAACCACGAACGTATTCATTGTGGTTTCATCGGGAAAGAGGCTACTCCAGGTTCCAGTGAAAGAGCTTCTATACGAGGGCTTCATCCGGGTGTCTTAGGCCAAGACAATATACCTCAGAATGAAAAGACAGCGCAGGCCAACACCGTGAAGAATCGTTTGGCTGCAATGAAGAAGAAATTACCCCACGAGAGTTTCAGATGTTATGGATGGGTCCATTATTATGGGGATAAATGGTGGTGGACCAGAATGACTTGATATGTGTTGAACCGTTGGGGGCAAGAGTTAGCAGAACTAGGGTTGGAAGTCCCGATCCGTGCCAGCATGCATGGTCTGCAAATTAGTGTAGGTCATTTCCTCCGTTTGTTCGAGATCTATAATCCTGACACTAATACATTCTTCACCAAGAACGGGGAGCTCAGGTTACCATTGCATGAAATGATGAAGGTGTCTGGCTTGCCCATAGGCGATGTTCCATATCAAGAGTTCTTCCCAACCACCAGTCAGCTTAATAAGATGAAGGATCGGTCATCTGTGACCCATGAGACTTTATGGGAGCTGACTTGTCATTATCATATAGCTATGGCTGAGATGGATACCAAAGCTAGGAAGAAATCTCCCCAGGTCAGCTTAAAGCAATTCGCCGATTATCTATTCAAGAACCTGGAGGATCGATCGAAAGAGGTACGTGGATTATCTCCTTTGAGCCCGGGTGACATCAATCGGCTGTTGGAGAAAACAAACGCACAATCTTACACTTCTCATTCAGAAGATGGGTTTTCGCACGGAACTAAATTCCGCCCTTATCTGTGGCAAGCTAGTGTTCCGATTCGCCCCACTACTCTGCTGGCTGGCTTTCTGGCCATATGGTTGAAGAGATGTGTAGTTCCTCACCAGTCATCCGACGCTATGCCAATGGAAGTGTTGTATCCAGCCGTCCAGTTAGCCACAGGTCGCAGATTATCCTTGCTTCCTGCTATGGTGGCGGCTATTCACAGTGGGTTACGGCAGTTAGTTTCCGCATTCACGCAAGAGAAAAAGAAACCCTCTGCCAGTATATCTGTTCCGAAACTAGAATTACCCTACACTTATTTGATGACATGGTTGGTTCTGCACCGGCCAGATTTAATGGAAGCTCCTGAGACGGTGGATCCTAGTCTTCCTCTTTTACAGACCCTTGAGGGTTGCAAATGGATCAACCATCGATGGCCGGACATAACGAGGCAGTTCAAAATTCATAAGTGTTGGAAATTCTTCCCTTGCTTCCCTCGGTTCTCCGGCACTTACAACACAACTTTATTGGATGCTGAAGACCCGAGGCAGAACCGTACTGTTCTAGATGTCGGATGTTTCAGATGGCTGATGAATATCCGACCTGGATATCTGTTGTTCAGGGTAAGGGACGTTTGCCACATTGAGCCCTATCTTCCATGTCGATTTGCCCGTCAATTCGGCTATGACCAAATTTATATCGGCAACCCGAATCATCACCTTAGCTTTCGAGGTGGACTTATTGACGGGGCGAGAGATTGGTTTTGGAGTATTGCCGGCTGCACAAATGTTGAATTCGATCTCCCTTTAGAGGCGCCGCCTCTACGGATGACCTTCATCTTTTGTAAGTGGTTGATTGCCGCTAATATCGTCACTCGATGTGGGAGAGTATCGGACTCAGAGGAAGAGGCAGCTCCGCGGCCAGTGACAGAGGCGACTCGTGAGGAGACTATGGTGTCAACTCGAGGAAAAGAAGCTGCTGAATCCTCGAGAAAAGGAAAGGAACCAGCCCGCCCAACGGATAGTGAAGAAGAGTTTGATAGTGATGCGACCAAAACTTCTGAAGGGGCGGACGAGACTGATTCAAGTTCTGAGGGAGCAGCAGGTCTCCCCGACTCTTTCTTCGAGAGAGGATTTGTAAGACCTTCCATCGCTCCGGCCCAACCACAAGCTGCTCCAAAAAAATGGAGAGAGAGAGTCATCATGACCTATCCTAATAGGATGACGGTAGACGTTCTCAGTGGAGACGAAGAGGATGAAGAGGATACAGTGCCTCTTACTCGTAGGCAAAGATCTCAATCTTCCACTCAGGCTCAAACTCAGATTCCTCCTGGAACTGAATTACGCACAAAATGTCATCATGAAGGTTTTGAAGTACGTCCACTGAAGAGACAGAAGAAAGCCGTTTCTAAACCACGTGTTCATCTCCCCACTTTAGAGGAAACTTCTGCCCGTAGCGCTTCTTCAGAAGAACAAGGTAACAATTCGTTTTTATTGCTTTCACGCTTTTTAACGCTCGAACTCATTTCATGCTCAACTTTTGCAGGGAGTCGAGAAGAAGGAGAATTTCCAGCTGATGCTGCTTCTCCCGGAGGTATGGAAACTGAGGAGACCAGCTTCGTCCAACAAATGCAGGATGCTTTGAAAGAAGGACCAGCTGATGTTCTACCAACTCCTGATATTGATCCATCGGCTGCGGATACAGGTACTGATCTTTCTCCACTCGGAAGAGAAATCCGAGAAATGAATGAGTCAGACCGTGTGCCTCCTTTAATGACCAGTGCACTTTGTCTCCTTTTAGTCAAGCTAAAAGAAGTGGGTACAAGTAGTGGAGCTCTCGAATCCGTCTCGGTCAACAAAAATAACGTTAATCGTCTTTTTGAGCAAATTCGTTTAAATTTACGTGTCATTTACGATTCAACACGTTCTGTTCGTTTAAATTTACGTGTCATTTACGATTCAACACGTTCTGTAGATGCCATAATGAAAGAATCTATTGGAGGAGAGGCCACGCATGCAACAGAGGTCGAGGAATTCAATGAGCATCACCTCGATTTCGATCTCTCTGAAAGCGACCATCAGTATATCTCCAATTTATTATCGGGGAAAACTCCTGGTGTGGCCACAGAATCCAACGTTGGAGTCGGTTCAACAGAAGCAGGTCCTTCTGAGAGTAAGACTTTGGTTCTGTAAACTCCACATATGCATACATATATATTTTAACTTGATTAATCATATAAGTGTTTGAATTATAGGACCAGCTGCTGGAGCTGATACTACCATAATCACTGGAACGTCTGATCGACCGGAGGGTAGTGAACTCGTGCCATGGGCAGGAACTGAGGTTGATTTGCAATCATCAGTTCTTGAACCTCAACCTTCTACTCCTATAGACCCCATGATGATAGAAGTGACCGTCACTCCCCAGATTAGTCCGGTCGCAACAAAAGCGAGATCAACTGAAGAAGTTGGTGCGTCAGCCGATGTTGTGTCTGGAGCTGGTGAGTTTAACTCGTCATTTGTTTCAAATTTCTGATTACTATTCCATCATGCTCATTGCGATTCTATTGTTTGCAGAATATTCTCCCAAGGAGCCTCTCAACTTAGACCCAAAGTTCTCTGAGGTTGAGATTAAAAAATCTTTTGACGTAGCTAGTGCGTCAAAAGCTGCCATTCCTGAACCGACTTTGGCTGCTCAGGAGGCCGAACTATCCCCATTGGGTGAACAAGATCGTGCTGAAGGCTCTTCTGTTCAACTTGGTATGCTTCCACTCATCGTTATGCATGCACGCATATATTTTGTACTAACATATTTGTCTTCATATCAGCTCCTTCCTCAACATTATCAAATCGCATTCAAGCTTTGTTAACAGACGAGGATCCTGATAAGGCTGGCATTTGCTCTAATCTCCACGGCTTCATCTCCTTTTTGAATTCTATGGTCGATCGTATTCTCTCCAAAGGATCGCACTTTGAGAATTTTAAGAGACCTCTTGACCGTTATATATCAGGGATCAGAGAGGAAGGATATAACGAGTTAGCCGATTCGATCAACGCTTATATGGTCGACTTGAAGCAACATGTTGAACTTCTGAAGGGTCTTCGAACCGAAAGCGTACCTTCCTATATTGCTTCTCGTATGGACTCCAAGTTACAAGCGTGGCATGATTCTAAAAAATCAGCTAATCTCAAACTCCAAAAGCTAAGAGCCCACAATACTCAACTTAGGGTGAGTGTTGGCAAGAAAACACACGCCAAGGTTAATCTGCGCCATGACTTAGAGTCGAACCAAGCGGAGATAGCCCGCTTAGAAGAGCAACTTGTAAATGCCAAGGATGCTCGTGAAATCCTGGAGTCTGAGTTGATAAAAGTAACTCAAGCTGAAGAAGACCTGTTTCAGCAACTGAATACTCAGGATGAGATACTTGCTGAAAAGGAGCGGGAAGTCGCCGAACTTCAGAATGTTGACGAAGAAGCCTTCAAAGTTAAATTGGCAAATGAGCTTGAACAGGCTCGTGCGTCAGAGCTTTCGCAGCTTGAAGATCAGATTCGTCAATATAAACTCTTGTAATTGGAGGGCATATATTTTTTTTGTAGTTTTGTTTGAACACTTTTGGTCAATATATTGAATCCTTTTGCTCATTGAGGTTTTATTATGATTACTCATTCTTGTTTTAGAATAAATAACCATAATACTTATAGGATTTTTGACAAATCCTCAGCCGTCAACGGATTTGATATGCCTTTACCGATTACCTTTTGAATCGGGCTAGTATGTGAATTATCTAGGTCCGTTTCACATATAACGTTGGGCTAAAAGAATTAAACTCTTTTAGACTTTAAACTACAATGTTGAATATGTAGGCTACATGTGTTAGATGTAGGCTTATCTCTAATAAGGGATAGAGATAACATCCCCTATGTGTGAACGACATGGATTTTAAAGTGTGAATAGGTTGTGTTTCCTATATAGGACAACGAACCCGAAATCGGAGAGGAAGAATTTTATATTCTATCTCCTAGTCTCTTGTTTGTTGGTAGAGATAAACCCAAAACCGGAGAGGAAGAATTTTATATTCTATCTCCTGGTCTCTTGTTTGTTGGTAGAGATAAACCCAACATCGGAGAGGAAGAATTTTATATTCTATCTCCTGGTCTCTTGTTTGTTAGTAGAGATAAACCCAAAATCGGAGAGGAAGAATTTTATATTCTATCTCCTGGTGCAAAGGAAACTCGAAGTGGGATCTTCACTTGGAGAATCTAGATTGGTTTGAATAATCCTAACTGTCATAAGGTTTGATTACTCAATTCAAAAGTGAACCTTTCGTTCGCAAAATAAATCGAAAGGAGATTTTGGTTGTGGTCCTAACTGTAGTAAGGTTTGACCAAGTGGAAGTTTTGAGACGATCCTAACTGTAGGAAGGTTTGATCGTTTAGTTTGTGGACCTCTCGTTCATTGAAGGAATCAAGAGGGGATTTTGGTTCTG